CAGATCAAGCAAATACTGACAGTGTTTACATCCATTGTTTCATTGTTGTCAACAGTTTAACCAAATTGAGATACGGCTACAATGAATAATTACCAGTTTCAATTTTGGGGTGAAAACAAGTATTTTCCAAGAAGTAGACTTAAAAAATAATAATACTTCAGCTAAACTTGAACAGGGATTTAGGAATTCTTAAATCCACTGGAATCAATTAGCTTACATATGCCTGTATATTGAATTTTGGCTTTAGATTGTACAAGTGTTCATTCCCCCCCGTTCAAAACCATTTCGCCCCCACTCCGCGCTTCTTTCCCCTTCTTATTTTTGATAACCCTAAATCAGGATCATGTAGCAAATGAGAGAACATCACAACACTGTCTGCTTGAATTGTCCTTCTTAGTCTCCCCCCGCTCCCCAAAATCCATCAAATATTTTTGTTTTGCTCTGTTTGCAATGCACCCTTTTCTTGGTTCGACCAGCGACCATTACGCAATCTCTCCCACTCCCATTGGTTCACAGCCGTTCCAGATCTCTTAAATTCTTCTTTTCTCAAAAACCCTCTCAGAAATAAATTATCCTTGATTGCATCAGCAAGGATGACAGCGGCAGAGCTCTTCAAACCTGGTCTTCCCCACCGACGCGCTTAATCAACGAAGCACTTCCATCTTTGGCAAATGGGCTCCCACCACTGACAGAGCAAATACCCGCAGAGACCATTTCATGAAATGTGTTAATCACTGCAAAAACGAGACCGATGTCACGGAGGGGGCCAAAGAGAGATCTGGTCCTTAAGAGCTCATCACGTTAGGGAACAAAGGGGATCCGTAGAGTTGCCATTTGCGAAAAGGAAAGTCTCCTGAGCCATGCCTGGATGTGTCTTTCGAAGTCATTTCCTGCCTTATGTGTTTCACATGGAAAGCCTATTGTTTTGCCATCAGATCCTTGGCTTTTTCAAGGAAGTCTCCGTCAACACTGACATCATGTCAAATATGTCAACTATCAGCTCCCACAGAATGCCATCCTTTTAAAATACTTCTCTTTGCTAAGAAGCAAAAATCGTGGACACAGAAATGTGATGAGCATGGCATTCCCACCCCTCCATTCCACCTTCTCTTCCTCCATAACCTTGAGTTTGGCTGTCATTCAGGAAAAGAATCACATCATTATGGGAATCTTCAAGATGCTGAGCTTTGCTGTACCTTTATGAGTCGCCAAACTTCTTCCCGTTCTTTGATGAGTCAAAGGGCTGGTGTGTGCTGCTTCTTCAACAAATAATAATAATAATAATAATAATAATAATAATAATAATATTTTATTTATATCCCGCCCTCCCCAGCCAAAGCCGGGCTCAGAGCGGCTAACAACAGTAAAATAAATAAAACATTATAAAATCATTTAATTATAAAATCAATTCAAATCAGATTAATGGCAACCATTGGGCTAGAGCTCTGCGAGGACTGCCAAAGGAGGAGGTCAGGCTGTGCCCTGGCCAAAGGCCTGGTGGAACAGCTCTGTCTTGCCGGCCCTGCGGAAAAATGTCAAGTCCCGCAGGGCCCTAGTCTCTTGTGACAGAGTGTTCCACCAGATCGGAGCCACAGCCGAAAAAGCCCTGGCTCTGGTTGAGGCCAGCCTAACCTAACCACATGTCAAACCTCGTACCTGACATGGTAGAAGCAGGTGCATCCATAATATTTAGCATGTACCCCCATCCTTTGTGGCACACCCTGCAAATGGGTACATTACCAGTGGAACCTGAAATAAAATCTTGTAGTGTCGATTGCTCCTGCTTCTTAGTGTTGCAGCCAACCAAACCCTACCCTCTTCCCAGTGTACTATAACTCACCCAAGTGTCAGCTGTCATTCCATACTCAGCCCCGGCCAGACCATTTTGCAGCTTTGCTCCACCCCAAGGAATGCCTCCCCCAAATATTGCTTGAATTTCTGCAAACCTTGGGATTCCCCTGAGCCCATTGATACCTCTCTCATGTCCATGGATGGTGCCATCTTGTTCTTGGTCTTCTGTACTAAATAAGGAGCAGCCCTAGGTAATTCGAGATCATTGTTAATGCATATGGTACATTAGCCAGTTAATCACTACCAGGTTTGTTGCAGTCATGGGAGCACCAGTTTGCACACATAGTCGTTCCACCAGAAAGAGGTCTCCACCCAACGCAGAGTGCATCCAGAGAGATACACTTACGTTACCATCTCCAACACCAAAATGAATGGAACTCCATATTATCCAATGGCCGTATAGCATAGTCTCTGTTGTCTCTGTGATAGTTAACTCTGCTGTTTGAGCTATTAATAATAATAATAATAATAATAATAATAAAATTTTATTTATACCCTGCCCTTCCTGGTTTAAAAACCGGGCTCAGGGCAGCTGACAGCAAATATAAAACATTAATTAAAATGCAACTTAAAAACAGCATAAAATACAACATAAAATGCAACATCAATATCAATAAAATTCAAAAATTCAGGGGTCATTTTGAGGGGGAAAGGGGGGGGGGACTCAGTCAGTAGACATCAAATGATCACCAGGGCTAACTGGCCAAGATATTTAAATGTGGGGTCCCAGAAAGGGTTTCTTCATAGAAGAGGAAAGGGGAAAGGGAATAGAGGATCAGGCTAATTCAAATTGAAGGCCAGGCAGAATAGCTCTGTCTTACAGGCCCTGCGGAAGGAGATCAAGTCCTGCAGGGCCCTAGTCTCGTGGGACAGAGCATTCCACCAGGTCGGAGCCATCACTGAAAAGGCCCTGGCCCTGGTGGAGGATAGTCTGGCTTCCTTATTTAAGTCACGATTAGTTCCATAAGAATATAAGAAGAGTCTGCTGGGTCAGTTCAATGCAGTGTCCCATTTAGACCAGCATCTGTTCTCACAGTGACCAACCAGATGTCTGTGGGAAACCCACAAGCAGGATTCGAGCTCAAGAGCTTCCCCTTCTTCTGCCATTTCCGGCAGCTGGTATTCACAAGCATTGCTCCCTCCAACTGTTGATTCTCTTGCTACAGTATCCACATAGAATCATTAAATTGAAGTGTTGGACGGGACCCCAAAAGTAATCTAATCCAACCCAATGTATAGCATGATGTGTAACATGTGGTGCATTTTGTCTTTGTTTTATGGATGCAATTCTGTTGCTGATTTTTTGCTGTTCACCGCCGTGATATTTTGTCTTAATGTACAGAATTTTTTGCAAGCAAGCACATAAATAAGTTTAACCACATAGTATACATATTAGAAGGGATGCGGGTGGCGCCATGGGTTAAACCACAGAGCCTAGGACTTGCCGATCAGAAGGTTGGCGGTTCAAATCCCCGCGACAGGGTGAGCTCCCGTTGCTCGGTCCCTGCTCCTGCCAACCTAGCAGTTCAAAAGCACGTCATGTGCAAGAAGATAAATAGGGACCGCTCCGGCGGGAAGGTAAACGGCATTTCCGTGCACTGCTCTGGTTCGCCAGAAGCGGCTTAGTCATGCTGGCCACATGACCCGGAAGCTGTACGCCGGCTCCCTCGGCCAGTAAAGCGAGATGAGCGCCGCAACCCCAGAGTCGCCCACGACTGGACCTAATGGTCAGGGGTCTCTTTACCTTTACTTATACATATTAGACCACAGGAATCCAATGGCAGGGTTGCTCGTAGCACTTTTGGCTGCCTTGAGAATTTTAACCAGGGATGGGGAAACAGCGGTCCTCCAGAAACATTTGGACTACAAATCCCATCATTCCTAACCATTGGCCAATGCTGGCTGGGATAAAGGGAGCTAGAAAGTCCAATGGAATCTGGGTGGGTCATGTGTTCCCCATTCCTTGCTGAAACCAAACTGCCAAGGAAGCATCCTAACCTGTTCGTTCTTCCAGTTGGGTTCCTCTTGTGCGCCCTCCATCAAACAAACACACGCCCATTTTCACACAGGGACCCACCCCAGCTGTCTTGCAAAGATGGAATCACTCATTCTTTGCAACTGTCGAGCAAGGAGAGTGCAATAAATCAAATTAATAGCCAGAAAAAGAATCGCTCAGGATGGGGAAGGGAAGGAAGTCATTGGCTCCAACCGGTTTAGTGTCTTCCTGAGGAATTCTGTGAAGCAGCAGCTACGCACCCAAGGAATGTTTAAGTGCATCAACACCGGGACACTTAACCTTGGTAATAGACCGCAATCCTATCCTGCCCAGTTAATAATTGATGCAAAGATTCTGAAAGGCAATTCCCATGTGTAAATCCCATGCGAAACCTGATTTGATATCTGGACTGAAATGAGAGTATGCTGGGAGACGAGTGGGTCATCCTTTGTGCTGCTCAGGAATGAGATCCGCAAAGCTCATATTGCAAACAAACAAACAAGACCTGTGGAATAACACTTTTGGTTGATCTAGTCTCGTTGCAAGGTATTACTTTAAGTCTTCATTATAATGTATTCTTTTTTAAACACTTTCTCCGTGCTTCGGGGGGTGTGTGGCTTGGAAATAAGGTGTCACAGGAGAGGATGGCAAGTTTGGTGGGAATATTCAAGGACAATCAAAGAAATACTTAAATAGTTCAGTATAGTATAGTAATTTGGGGGGGGGGGGATATGCAACCAGAAACCATATCCGTACCTCTCTTCAAGAGCACCAGCTATTCTTCTGCAATTTTCCACAGCGTATTGTTGTGAACAGAGATTTTCAACTCTGACAAATATGAAAGATCAGAAAAGAGAAAGGCTTCTTTGTGTTGGTGAGCAGATGAGAGTTTGTTTGTCTCAAATTAGGCCTAAAATAAACGAGATTCCCCAGCAAAAGCAAGCTTACACCTCATACTGACTTTGTATGCATACTTAAGGTACATATGCAAGAGGCTCCTTTATAACTGTATTTTGAGAATGATTCGTGTTCTTATGTACCTGCACTGTTTTATACTTTCTGGATGTCCCATGAGCACAGAATCACAGAACTGTAGAGTTGGAAGGGACACTGAGGGTCATCTAGTCCAACCCCCTGCAATGGAGGAATCTTTTGCCCCATGTTGGGGCTCGAACCCACAACCCTGAGATTGAAAGTCACATGCTCTACTTACTGAGCTACTCCAGCTATCATAGTATAAAACAGTTGTGTTCTACATTGCCAGTCAAGCACTGCTAGGAGTTGTTTCTTTTTGTTTTCCTAGGTACTTAAATCCATTTTAAAAATTAGGTATAGCACGAACAAATTGTTACAGGTTAGGAACTTAATTCGTTCTGGAGGTCTGTTCTTAACCTGAAACCGTTCTTAACCTGAGGTACCACTTTAGCTAATGGGGCCTCCCACTGCGATTTCTGTTCTCATCCTGAGGTAAAGTTCTTAACCCGAGGTACTATTTCTAGGTCTGTTACCTGAAGAGTCTGTAACCCGAAGCATCTGTAACCCGAGGTACCACTGTAATCTGAAAGTGTGGCCCAGAGGAAAAATGTGGGAAAACCAGGGTTGGACCCAGGGCCTGGGAGACCAGGATACGGATCTCCACTCAGTCAGAAAACTCAAGGGATGACCTTGAGCCTGACAGACATGCACTCTCACCCTGGCCTACCTCACAGGGTCATTGTGAGGGTGAAATGGGGAGATGGGTACCACGGGGTATATAAATGCAATGGATCCCTAAATAAGCTGAAAAACGAGCTCTGTGAGGGTGGCATAAGCATGCTGGGCTTTGCAGCATCCTCTCCTGAGCAGAAGTGCTGACCACATTCCCCTGCCTCCTCCTCCTGCTGCTGCTGCATTTGCTCTCTGGCACTAATGCCCACGTACGCTGTCCATAAATATATTTATTCTGTGTTCCTGCCAGTCCCAGACTAATAGGCCTAATGCTTCCTGAGGAGCAGCCCAAAGCTGCATTAGCCGCAGATGTTTGATTGATTTAAAACAAAGAGCCTGACCGCTGAGCCGCTCTCTATGGCTTCTCTTCCTGTCACTTTGCCTGTAGGGTTATCTCTGAAATGCAATTAAGGTGCTTAAAAGTACATTTTCAGGAAGATGCGGAATTGATGATGGTATCTGTGCCAATGGGTGACTCCGAAGGGGGAGCACTGCAAAGTCATGCTTTACCCTTTGCAGCCATGCGCAAGACGCACCCCACTTAGCCGGGCCTTTTGAAACAGAGGGCAGGATGCAAAGTGGGGGGGGGGGCGCCTCTTCATCACGAAGACTTCGCATTAGACATCCCGGGCCACTTAGATCACCATCTTCTGATCTTTTGTTCATTCATCTATTATTGAAAGTCAAATCGTTCTCTTATTAGATGTTTGCGCAGGAAGTTAATCGCCAGGGCATGCTGCCATTTTCCATCTCTGCCGTCCTCGCTCGCACCATCTCTTCGTGTGCAAGGGGCCGCGTTCTTCTTTTAGCTCGGCGGTGGGGAACCTCTCCCAGCAAAGTGGCTGCATTTCCTTGGAGCCAGAGGAGAAAGCAGGTGGAAAACTATTATTATTACTATTATTTATTTTTATTATTATTATTATTATTATTATTATTATTATTATACGGCCCTACACCATAGGTCTCAGAGCAGTTCACAACACAAAGTTACAATATACGAACCACAAAATACATAATCAAAATAATCAAAACAATTGGTTAGACAGTCTAACCAAAAATTTCAAAAAGTGTGGGGAATGTACAGAGATTACTTTAAAAAAAACAGTGCTCCCAAATCAAAACCTGGACTTGCTTTGAGTAATTTTTTGCAAAACTAATTATGGCCTACAAGCATAGTATATGGAGAAGGGTAAGGTAAAGGTAAAGGGACCCCTGACCATTAGGTCCAGTCATGACCGACTCTGGGGTTGCGGTGCTCATCTCGATTTATTGGCCGAGGGAGCCGGCGTACAGCTTCCGGGTCATGTGGCCAGAATGACTAAGCCGCTTCTGGCGAACCAGAGCAGCACACGGAAATGCCATTTACCTTCCTGCTGGAGCAGTACCTATTTATCTACTTTCACTTTGCTGTGCTTTCGAACTGCTAGGTGGGCAGGAGCAGGGACCGAGCAACGGGAGCTCACCTCGTCGCGGGGATTTGAACCACCGACCTTCTGATCGGCAAGTCCTAGGCTCTATGGTTTAACCCACAGCGCCACCCGTGTCCCATGGAGAAGGGTAGAAATGATGAAATGAGAAAGAAACAGTTTATCAGACACGAAACCAGAACCGCTTTGAGGAGGGAGGAAGTCTATTAGAATAGAATAAGAATCGGAAAGAGAAAATAGGGTAACATAAGTCCGTATGTAAGAACTTTCAGATTTATGGCTTATGTTTGTCATTTGTTTTGTGTGGTTTTTTATTTTGTTTCTTAAGTGTCATGTGTGTGTGTGCTGTAATGAAAAGTTAATAAAAAGCATTATAAAAATAATAATAATCAAAATAATGAACACTACTAATGTATACACACTAATAAACAGTACGCTCCCCAACAAAAGCCCCTAAACAGTACTCCAGCCCACAAATACAGATATAACACGAGAACCTTTTCTGCTTATATATGAGAAAATGAAACCACGGCGTATATTCTCAAAAGCCCTACTTATATAGGTCATCGTGGAAATTATGGCTCTAGAGATTCGCAGCCGTTCTCCCTGCAACGTGCCTAATAAGGAACACGGGCCATTAAGGATTGGAACAAATTGCCTAAATGAGAAAGACAAAAAAGAAATTCTGCAGTTGATCGTTTGTTATTAATAAATCATTACGCTCGTCTACTCTCTCGCTCTTTCGGTGAGATTGATTTTAAAAAGCTTTGCAAACAAGGCTGGGTAGGGAGCTTCAGAGGATGGCATGCGGCAGCTCCTATCCAAGGGTGTGGCGCCCACCCGCCATTTTGGATCTTCTTTAGCTGAGCCTCCCTCCGTGGCTGCGAAAACCCATCTGTTTTCATGCGTTTCTAATACTTCTCCCCATTCTAAAGAGCCAAGAAGCTCTCGAGGCGGCTTACAAGCTCACACTGAGAGCCAGCATGGTGTAGTGGTTAAGAGCGGTAGTCTCGTAATCTGGTGAACCGGGTTCGCTTCCCCGCTCCTCCACATGCAGCTGCTGGGTGACCTTGGGTCAGTCACCCTTCTCTGAAGTCTCTCAGCCCCACTCACCTCACAGAGTGTTTGTTGTGGGGGAGGAAGGGAAAGGAGCATGTTAGCCGCTTTGAGACTCCTTCGGGTAGTGATAAAGCGGGATATCAAATCCAAACTCTTCTTCTTCTTCTACGAACCATTCTTACGATGAAACCACACTCTAGTCCGTACCCTTCAAGGTTCACTCCTTTTTTCCAGAGACAGTCCCAGAATTACGAAAGCCACCACAGCTTCTGATTTGATCCAGGAATGTCCCTAGTTCCCTCACCACTGAGCTTGGGGAAGACATGGCGGCAGTGGCAGCTGTGAGAGAGCATCCTATTGCCTCTCTGTGGCCTCCCTGTGGCTGCTGCCGCCGGTTTCCTCCCCTGGGTAGCTTGTAGTGGCAACTGGAGAACAGGTGAGGTGCAGCTCTGAGGTACAGATAGAGGGCAGGGGCGGGAAGAAAGGGGGAGCAGAGCAGAGTGCAATGAGTCTTGGTTTTCATTTTTTATTTTAATGCTTTGTGCATCCGCAACTAATTTTTTCCCCTTTCTAAAATTTATTTATCGGATATTTACCAGTAAATAGAATTAAATCAAGATTGAGGGGTTGTCTCAGGATAGTGGAGTGTTGGTGCACTGTCCCGTTGGTATAGAAGAGGAAGAAGAGTTTGGATTTGATATCCTGCTTTATCACTACCCAAAGGAGTCTCAAAGCGGCTAACGTTCTCCTTTCCCTTCCTCCCCCACAACAAACACTCTGTGAGGTGAGTGGGGCTGAGAGACTTCAGAGAAGTGTGTCTGGCCCAAGGTCACCCAGCAGCTGCATGTGGAGGAGCGGAGATGCGAACCTGGTTCACGAGATTATGAGTCTACTGCCTTTAACCACTACACCACACTGGCTCAATAGTGCATGGGTAGGCAAACTAAGGCCCAGGGGCCGGATCCAGCCCAATCGCCTTCTAAATCCGGCCCACAGATGGTCCGGGAATCAGTGTGTTTTTACATGAGTAGAATGTGTCCTTTTATTTAAAATGCATCTCTGGGTTATTTGTGGGTCATAGGAATTCGTTCATTTTTTTCTCCAAAATATAGTCCGGCTCCCCACAAGGTCTAACGGACAGTGGACCAGCCCCCTGCTGAAAAAGTTTGCTGACCCCTGGTATAGTGGTATAGTGTTGTGGGACGGCTGGGGGACAAAAAATGGGGGGGGGGGGTTGAGGAGGGTCAGTTGGGGGGCGGGCGAGTGAGAAATGTCCCTATTTTCATTTGAGGAATGTTGGAGGTTTTGCAGTCTATTCTGTGCTCCTAGCATGCTTCAGGGCTTCCTTCCGGGCTTGAGGCCTGCCCCGAATTCATTCCTCGTCTTTCCTGATCTCGTTTCGTTGCTGCCTTAGACCTGATCTAACTTGCCTTTTTGATAGCCCTGATGTCACGCCTCCCTTTGATCCTACCAAGACTTACAACTCCGGTCCTCATTCTGCAGAGACTATTCACGCCCACTGGACTTATTTAGTTGCAGATCCCATGAGGTGCATGATGATCTGGGGAGATGGAATGTGGCTTGGGAGAGTCTTGAGGGCCACACAGAAAGGCTTGGATGGCCACATTTGGCCCTGGATCTGAGGTGCATCGTTGTCTCTGCCTTATCTGATTCAACCAGCCTGCTGGATGAGGCCAGTGGCCTATGTAGCCCAGAATACCGGCCTCACGGTCACCAAGCAGGAAGCCCTTCCTGCAGTTTCCAGCAGCTGGTTTTCAGAAGCATACTGTCTCCAAACTGTAGCGGCTACTAAATCTGCAATACAAGACCTCCTCCATTCATGGCTCTGCCCCCAGATCCTTTGGTTCATCTGCATACCCTCCAACCTTTCTCCGATGACAATAAGGGCGTCCCATTCCATAATAATAGTACTGTTATTATTTATACCCTGCCATCTGACTGGGTTGCCCCACCCACTCTAGGTGGCTTCCAACATATATAAAAATATAACGAAACATTAAACATTAAAAGCTT